TATAAATAAATTTGAAGTTGAACTTGATCACCCTGTGTGCATTGAGTCCGTTGTGTGCTACATTTAGGGTTACTCGTTACGGCCAAGGGTAAATGGTGCATGGGATGCAAAACCTGAAAATCCTTACAATACTTTTGAAACCATTAATCAAACGCTCAGTTTTCTAAGAATTTTGATCATTTGGTTGAGGAAAGAAGTATACAGGATTAGAGTTTCTCGCTGTAACTCTTTCTGCATACATACTCTTACACTTTTCTGTGCACATCACCATGAATTCTTAAAATGAATAGAGATTGCAAAAGACACATTTTGTCATAAAAAAAAAATCTGATCTATCTCTCTAGATAGATTTAGCTAAAAAGCATGGAGGTAAAATTCTGTTTACTATGCGAATGCTGATAACAACTGCAACACGGTAGCCCAAACTGATGTTATGTGGGGTTTTTTCCAGACCTCCCCTGTAACATTTATTTATTTATTTAAACTAATGACATGAGTCAAATCTTTAAAATCAGTGAATGTTGCCATTCTTATGTGCTGTCATGGTGCTCCTTTACCTTGTCTGGCAAGCTAATGATGAGTTCTGCATCACCAGGTGACCAGCTGTGTCTCAGCAGAGTTTGCAGGAAGTAGTGGCTACAAGCTGCAAGGACAGCCCTGTGTGCTCGTAGCTCCCTGCCCTCTACAAGTACAGTCACATCGCACAAGATGCCCTGCCGCCGTTGATCCTCCAGGCACAACATCATATTGGCACAGTGGACTTTGGATTCATATACGTACAGAGGCGTTGCCGCCTCACTATCTTGCTGCTTGCCTGTCGACATCACTCTGTGTAGCACCCTGCACAGAGAAAAGACACATGTCAGGACACAATATCAGTTAAGCTTAAACTATTTGTATGAGTAACATTTTCTTTTTCAAAACACCAAAAAGAAGTAAATAAGTAAATAATTAAATTGGGATTAGTGTTGTTCAATACGAGTGATTTCCTTTACAATCTTAAGGACATACCAAGAAATATTTAGCCTGGTATTAAAAATACTGATCCGATACAGATACTTTGTACATAAACTTAATGTGTTTGGGGGAAAAAAGTAGTCCATCCATCTTCTTCCGGTTATCTGGGGCCGGGTCTTGGGGCAGCAGCCCAAGCAGAGAAACCCAGATCCCCCTCTCCTCGGCCACCTCCTCCAGCTTGGGGAACATCAAGGCGTTCCCAGACAAGCCGAGAGATAATCTCTCCAGCATCTCCTGGGTCTGCCCCGGGTCTCCTCCCAGTGGGACATGCCCGAAACACCTCACCCAGTAGGCGCCCAGGAGGCATCCTTGTCAGATGCCCGAACCACCTCAACAGGCTCCTTTTGATTTGGATGGCTGAACTCCTCAACCTAACGGAGAGGCCAGCCACCCTTCGGAGGAAGCTAATTTTCGCCGCTTGTATCCGCGATCTCGTTCTTTCGGTCACTACCCACAGCTCGTGACCATAGATAAGGGTAGGGAAGTAGATCGACCACTAAATTAAGAGCTTTGCTACAGCGTCAGCATCAGCATCACTGCAGCTGCAGCACTAATCCATCTTTCCATCTCCTACTCCCTTTTCGCATCACTCGTGAACAAGACCCCGAGATACCTAAATTCCTCCACTTGGAGCAGAAACTCCTCCCTGACCTGGAGTGGGCACTCCACCTTTTTCCAACTGAAGACAATGGCCACAGATTTGGAGGTGCTGAATCTCATTCTCACCATTTCACACTCGGCTGCAAACCATTCCAGTGCAAGCTGGAGGCTGTCACCTGATGAAGTCAACAGAACCACATCATCTGCAATGTGATGAATAAAAGTAGTGTATTTCAAATTAAACCTTTATAGTGAATACAAGACCTCAGACTATTTGTTGTAATAGTTTAATTATGAACAATTATCATGCAAAAAATAAAAAAACGGAAACATCAGTACCTACATTTTAAAATATGCAATTAACAGGCAAAAACAAATGTATACCTCCACACAATTGGTCATGTATGGAACTATTAGGAACAAACTTTCCACTGTACTCAAAAAGTTGTTACAATTTTTTTCAGCAGAATAATATAGTGAATAAAGTGAACTTTACCAACTAAGACATCTTAAATATGTCATTCTAGTACATTATTAATAGTTTAAGGTCCAGCAAAGAACCTCAGGTAACCTTCAGTAAATGTGAGTCAGCATTATTTATTTGTACATTCTGATATCGTTGATTTAAGTAACTGTTTAACCAATAACTATCCCTCTAATACAATGTCTCTCCAGCTTTTTAATCAGTAATCCAAGCTCTATTGTGTCAAATGGTTTTTACTTCAATAAACACTACCAAAGTATATTTTCTGTTATCCAATGCATTTGCCATGTCTTCTGATAGCTGCCATACAGCTAAAGCTATTAACTATAGCAGACATATTTGCTCTAAACCAGTAATATCAGTCAGTTAATAGACATTTATTGTTTTTTCTAGGAAACATGTTTCAACT